GCAAAACATTACTTCTGAGTAATATATAGTCAGCAAACATTACTTCTGAGTAATATATAGTCAGCAAAACATATTACTTGAGTAATATATAGTCAGCAAAACATACTACTTCTGAGTAATATATAGTCAGCAAAACTATTACTTGAGTAATATATAGTCAGCAAAACATTACTTCTGAGTAATATATAGTCAGCAAAACATATTACTTGAGTAATATATAGTCAGCAAAACATTACTTCTGAGTAATATATAGTCAGCAAAACATATTACTTGAGTAATATATAGTCAGCAAAACATATTACTTGAGTAATATATAGTCAGCAAAACATATTACTTCTCAATAATATATAGTCAGCAGAAGATTGAAGCACAAATGATACTTTCTAAATATATAGTAAGAAAGAAAAAGTTCGATAAAATATAAATCGTACAATTAAATAGAATAATGCAATAAAGGAAAGATATAGGTATGTAAAGAGAACAATTTGAATAAACTGTTGATTTAAAAAAAACAATACACAATTGAAGAACAAGTTCCCACAAATATAAATATTTTAAATAAAAGTTCTTATGTAGAGAATATACTGAAAGTAAAAACTACTGCAGCATAGGAGATTCACATTAATACTTTCGTTAAAATGTAACCAACAACCAATGGAAACAATTATGTATAACTATGTTTTATAATATGCTAAACACATTTTACACTGCTAACTATTGGGCTATTCTAATCCAGTAGTGGGATCTGACCATCACTATTATGATACACCCATCAAATGCAATTTTGTGACACTGGTAATATATTCATAATATGACAAAACACAACATACAAGATTTCAGACTACATAGACCACCAAAACAGACAATATATGATATAATAATAAAACCAAAACAGCTAAAATGGGATCTAGTTAAAAGTAAGCAGTAACGCAAAATTTTGTTGATCCCAAAATTATCAGAAGCAACATATAAGAGGGTGAAATGCTTAAATACAAGTCAGATATGATGTTCGAGTGACATTACAAGTGATATCAGGATGTCAATAAACAGGAGAATTCAACAGTGAAATAAACAATTATGTTCATTATAGAACCAGGTCAGAAACTATTACTTTGAGTTAAGATAAATATCCCAAGTTATCAACACTTACAAAGGTCCTTGTTGAGACTGCCCATATTTTTATTGATGGGAAAACAGGTTGCAAATTAAGGGTCTGGATGACAGAATGACCCCTTTTTCCATTCATATGTAGGGAATCAAGAGAAAGTCAGAGAAAAATAAATTCTGCAGCTTCCTACTAATTAACATCCTGATGTCACCCTATACTTACATCATTTAAACATAAAGTGATCTTTACTGGTATTTACAGCAACTTGCCCATTTACATGCCATTTTTAATAACGTTGGCATAAATGTCATTCAGGTGTTGAATACTGTCATTGTGTTAACACTTACTTTTTATATTTTTATTTTATCCCATTTTAGCTATGGATTATATTTGAGATATTTCCACTTTCTGTCTACCCAGTGACACCATTCACAATATAAAATGAATAAGATAATCTTCCATTCCTAGATAGGATGGTTACCAAGAAACATAACTTGTATATCACAGGATATTAAAGGAAACTTTCAGATACTGGTATATATACTGACTACAGATCAAACAACAGTAGTCATAAACTGCACAATATCCAGAACTAATAAGATTCATAATATAGAAAAAAGGCATCACTACAGCCCCTCTTGACAACAAATACCATGAACATTTGATAAAAAAAAAAATACAAAGTAAAAATAAGCAGGAAGAAAATTACAGACACATAAACATATTCCTCTATTGCCAAAGGCCTCTCTGAAAACATATAAGAGAATAAGTTAATTAGAAAGTCAGAAGAGTAATCAGAAACAACAACACAGTACACTTGCAGTTAGTGCTTAAAACACTATTTCAAGTCTCACTGTAAAGAAAAAGTCCAATAAAAGTTTGAATTCAAGATCATAACTGACATACAAGACAGTAATATCAACCATCTGTAACAGCTCTTTATCTGATAAATTTGAATATACTAATATAACAGAACCAACCATCTGTAAGAGCCCTTCATACAATCATATGATAAATTGGAATGTACTAATAATAACAGAACCAACCATCTGTAACAGCTCATCATGTGGCCATATGATAAATTGGAATATACTAATATAACAAAACCAACGATCTGTAACAGTTCTTCATATGGCCACATGATGAATTGGAATATACTAATATAACAGAACCAATCACCTGTAATAGCTCTTCATACAGCCATATGATAAATTGAAATATACTGATATAACAGAACCAACCATCTGTAACAGCTCATCATGTGGCCATATGATAAATTGGAATATACTAATATAACAGAACCAACCATCTGTAGCAGCTCTTCGTATGGCCATACGATAAATTGGAATATACTAATATAACAGAATCAACTATCTGTAAGAGCCGTTCGTATGATAAATTGGAATATACTAATATAGCAGAAGCAACCATCTGTAGCAGCTTTTCATACGGCCATATGATAAATTGGAATGTACTAAAATGACAGAAACAACCACCTGTAACAGCTCTTCATACAACCATATGATAAATTAGAATATCCTAATATAACAGAATATGGGCTAGATTAAAGAAGCTACACCCACCTAAGTGATAACACATTCAGCCAAACATCCATAAAAGTTAACAAAACCTGAATATCCCTCTTATAAATATTCATATAGCTGATTCAAGCCCTAACTGGAGAGATCCCCAATGAGTGGATGCTGTGCTATCAAGAGCAAGAAAATCTGGAGTTGAACCTTGGCTCCTGTTATCACATACAGTCATTCTCAGGTTCCCTCTGAAGATGCAAGACTTTCAGCTGAAACATAACTAATAAATTAATGTAAAATATGCAAAATCTATGCATACAAGAAATGTTCATATAATCCATATTGCTACTGTTCTCTTTCCAGGTATTTATAATTTTTGAAAGGTCTTCCATAGCAATACTGCCACTTAGTTAAGTTTAAAATGTATAATACTATATATTAAAAACACAATAGCAAGTCTGTAAATTTAATTGGTTATATAAATGTTAGTAAAAACAACCATAACATAAAAATATCCCAACAGTCTTGCATTATTAATGCTCTTCATAATTATTGCACATTTCAAAGATACGAAGAAGAACATGTATCTGAAATCTTACCATATTTGTAATTTGATTTTCTTCCCTCTCAGTTCTATTGTCTTTATTTTGAAATCAATACCTGAAAAATTAAAAACATTCTGATTTTTAATTTTCTTTCAAAATAAATCTACAACTGAGATAGTAAAGCTGTTATAACAACTAATCAGCCTAGCAACTCTTCATCTTTCATAACATCTTTGTGCACTTCTATACATCTTCTTGGTAAATTGTTATCTACAGATTTATTTGACAATTAATATACCATCCAGAGAAATGTTGAAGAGAAAGAGAAAAAATAAAACTTCTTGTTTATAGAAGCGTTTCTTTTAAAACTGAGCAACAGATTTGAATTTGTCAAATTTTAGTTTACTCTGACTTCACTTTAACTTTTGGTTATAAGATAGCTTGTATCTTTCAAGAGACTCAGAAAGATACAGTACATTAAATTTGTAGAATTGGTTTATTAGGGGATAAGTTATAGATACCGCATAATTGGGGAAGGTAGTTATTAGAGGGGGAAATCTGTAGCATAGGGACAAAAATTATGTAAGCAAGACAGGATTTGGATTAAGGTAAAGATTACTTTGGAGGAGTGTGAGAATAAGCATGTTGAAATTACATGGATATGTGCACAGTATTAAACAAGGTTATAGAGATAGATATGGTTTGCATTCAGGTACCAATCTTTAATCTGAACTTTGATATTTCCACAGAAAAACAATAAGGTCAAGAAAACTCTGTCATTAAATTTAACTATGTTGATAAAATTAATTGTAGTGGAGAGTATAGAAAGACTAGGCCTAGAAGTTACTTGCCAGATTTTAAGTACGGTATAGATAGTGTTTGTTGATAGCATAGTTTCTGGTAACATGAAGCATTCTCTTTCTTACAGATGAGTCAAAAGAAAACACCAAAAAGAAGTATAATAGGGTCAGGGTTGTTAATAACAAGAACACTGATGCAATAATTATGTTAGTCAAATTTTAGAACCACTGACTAGGATTGTATGGAGTCATATTGTGCAGGAGATATTTCCTTTAGTGATTTAGGATGTTTTTTCTATGCCAAGTGGTCAGAAAGCTAACCAGGAGGGGAGGAAGGAATGGTAATTTATTGTTAACCACTAACAAGAATATGGTTGCAAAAGTTAAAGTATGGAAATAAAGGAGAAAGACTGATTAATGCATAATTAGATTCAATGTTTTGCTTCATACTGATATAGAAATAAATGAAATTTTAGTTCTTATTTTTCAGAAAGCCAATTTTTAGGCCATGAAACAATATTTGTCAATTGTGAACTGGAATAATTATTTCAGAAAATGATATAGGAAAATTTTCAAAATGAATTGCTTTTAATTCAAGATAAGTATTTTCCTATAAAAAATAAATAAAAGGATAACATCACAAATCAAACCTTATTAGCTTACTAAAGACATAAAGGAGAAATATCCAGAATAAATACCACAAGTTTAAGTTTACAGATAGGTTTGTAGAAGTACAGGAGATCTAGGGACTTAGTTAAAAAAAGAAATTACAAAATCCAAGGTGGCTTATGAGAAACAGCTAATTGATACTGTTAAAACTAACAGGAAGTTTTTTTCAGTGTCTTGAAGCCGAGCAAAATGATAAAATGAGGGATTGGACACTTAAAAAGATTCTGATGACAAGGGTTTTGTTGAAGAATATGAAATGGCAGAGCTTTTAAATGTTTTTCTTCACTTCTATTTTTAAAAGAGAAGAAGATATCAGTAATATTCTTAACCCTGAGCATTCTATAGGAAGTATTGGAAATGACCTGAATCATGTAGATATTGAGCCCTTGTAAGTAGAGGAATCAGAAATAGAACCAGGGTCTAACAAGGCTTTTCAGGGTTTTAAAGATGGTCAAAGATCAGATATGCAAACCTTTCTTTCATTGTTAATGGACAGTGGGCTAGTGCCTGAGTATTGGAAAGTTGGTAATGTACTCCTATTTTTAAAGAGGAAATAAAAGGTGTTCTGTATATTATAGAACAGTTAGTTTTACTTCTATACTGGGAAAACCTTGAGAGAATCTGATAAAAGAAGCATTAAAAAATCAATTAGTGAAATATATTATAAATTAAAACTAATATGGATTGATGAATGGAAAATCTTTTTTTTATGATGCTTCTTTTTATTTGTACGATGGAAAGAGTGTGGACTTAATGTACTTAGATTTAAAAAATGCTTTTGATAAGGTGACACACAATAGATTGGTTAAACAAATCTCTTTGGTAATTGTTGGTGAAAGACTAGTTAATTGGAATATAGGATAATTGGATATGACAAAACAAAAACATATTATTAATACATTCCAGTCAAACTGTACTCTTGTTACTAGCAGAATGCCTCAGAGTTTGGAGCTTGGGCCTTTGTTTTTATTCACATCAACTGAATAGATAGGGTTAATCTCTAGAGATTGCTGATGACATTAAGCTTTTAGATATTCCTAGGTGTGTTATGGATGTGACATGGATAAATTTGTAAGTTGGATAAATATTTGATATATGACCTTTAATTATAGAAGATAATGTACTTGGGTTATAATTTTATCACACATTCAATATAGATGGGAACCTATTCAACAGCATAACTGAAGTAAATCATACTGAAATATTGATGGATAATTCACTTAAGCCATTAAAGTAGTGCTATGTTGCTAGTAGTAATGGTAATAGAATTTTAGGCAGTATTTAGAGACATTCTGATTACAGATCACTACATAGGCTTCACTTCAAATGTTCTTTGCAGCTTTGGTCTCCTTATCTAATACACTATATTGGTTTATTGATAAGGGCTCAGAAGAGAGGTACTAGATGATTTCAGGTATGGAAAGGCTATTTTATAGGGTTAGTTAAGATCTCAACTTCATTTCTCTTGCAAGATGAAGGGTAAGAGGTAATCTTATGATGTTTAGGAGAATATCTAGGGGGATTGATAGGAGAAACGCCTTTGATGTCTTAGAGCTATATCCTGAAAATAATAGGCTCCTGTTAAGACTGTTATTTTTCTCACAGGGATACTGAATTAGGGAATGGGTTACCATTGAATTTTAAAAGGGCAACCAATGATTTCCTAAAAAATTTAGGATGGGTTTATTTATTTTTTTTGATGGATCAAGTGGTCTCTTATGGTCTATATGATTTTATATAGATACTCTGAGAAGAAAAGAGAACAATGCAACTACAATAACACCTATCTTAAATATACAAAAGTTTTAACTGTAACAGAAATAGTTAAAATTTTTTATTAGTTGTACACATGCAAGTAAAACATTTTATTAAAGTTCTTGGGAAAATAGATTCACAAAGAAAATCTACAAAACGTTTAGTCATGGTTCAAAGTTCAATCAAAGGATCCCTTGTATCTATATAGGAATACATATAAGTATGCTCGAGGTGAATGATTTGAATAAAAAACAAAAATATTTAGGCTTATCAGTGGCTATAAATTTAGCTTTTAATTTTTCTTAATTCCAAGTTCAAGGTCTCTATTTTACTGACTGTTTATACTTATATATTTCAGTTTGCTTTTTCTTTAATTCAAGAGTTGGTCAAATGTTTACTTTTAATTCTGCATTGTAGAAATGGTTCAAGTCTTAGTATTTTGACAAACTTCGTTAATGCAAACACAACTGTGCAAATTAAAGAATCAGTCCTGAAACACGCTTGCAGAAATAAAACTATAAACAGAATTTCCTTCACTTTTAACTGTTAACCTGCCAGATTTTGTTTTGGATACACAAATCTACACTACTCAGTCACTACGGTTATCTCATTCTCAGTATCTGTGTATAGCCATCCCTAATTTTGAACTGATAGTGATACTGTAGACTAGAGAGAAAGTAGCTAGTCAACAGCACCCACTCCCATCTTTGGGCTACTTTAAAGTTTAATCTAATAGTGTGATTTTGTAGCTACTTTTATTAATTCATGTATGGCTCTGAAAATGAAATGCAGAGTGCAACTTTGCAGCAACAGGATGTGAACAATGGACCTCTGGTTTTTTACTTTCATAAGTTAATGAATTTTTTATTTAAAATTTTAATATAATAAGGCTAAGAAGTGCGTACATCATCACTGTAAGTTGTAACTCGTAAGAGTGTATCATATGTATCAATACATCAATATCATCACTATAAGGATCTGTCACAAATATTTTGTATGTTTTCTAAAACTTATATGATCACATTAATGTTATAACTTATATATAAATTTTTAGACCTGGAATTAATTTATAAATAGTCTAACTTTAAACAACATCATCCTTTTATTACCCACCAACAAAATTTTTCATATAATTTTATATTCATGTTATACTGCAGTGTTGCTAAATTCTAAGCCTAACGATTACGCCTGTATGACTATGACAATAAAACCCAACTCGGTTAGTAATGGGCTTGGCTACCGGCAATGCTAATATACTGTTAGTGTTACTAGCAATGTAATTGAAAGTCGTTACTAAAGTTAGTCACTTATTTTTTCAAGCCTATTTACCTATTGTGGAAATGAACGTTGTATTAAATGCATCATCAGAAAATCGAAATAGAATACATGTTTTTCCAACACCAGAATCTCCAATAAGTAATAACTTAAACAATAAATCATAAGTTTTCTTCGCCATTCCAATATCCAGCATAAATTCCTATTACCGTCGCACCCAAATACTACCTATTATAAACGTTCCGTAATATCTACGTGAATACGTGTGTGCATTTGTGTTGTTCAATATAAATTCATACGTATTGGTCAGAATATGTGTGTGTGTATGTGTATGTAAATATAATTTTTTCTTATCAAGTGAACTGTTCTCTCTCTATTGGTTTTATTAGTGGATTGATTATTTTACGATAAAAATATACGTATTATTTGCACTTTTTTATCGACTTTACCATTATATAATAAAAGCATTTATATGAAATCAAGTTCTGTAAGCTTTTATTCACTTTCTTCCAATAATGCAACATTATTTTAGTATTATATATTCAACCAATACATTGTATAAAAGTCCATACTTTAGATGTAATTGTAATTTGTAATTAAGCACAAAGCTACACAATGGGCTATCTGTGCTCTGCCCACCACGGGTATCGAAACCCGGTTTCTAGCGTTGTAAGTCCGCAGACATACCGCTGTGCCACTGGAGGGACCCATACGTTTAGTTTGTTTGAAATTAAGCACAAAGCTCCACAATGGGCTATCTGTGCTCTGCCCACCACGGGTATCGAAATCAGCTTTCTAGCGTTGTAAGTCCGCAGACATACTGCTGTGCCACTGGGGGGGGGGGGGGGTCCCATACTTTAAATCAGAAAAACGAGAAATAAGAATTTTAATTGGATGATTAAACATACAGAAGATACAAAAATACCAAGATAAATAACATGGTAGGATTTTAAACGGCTGTTAGATTTTCGTGCCCCAATAATGTATTGCTTCGCACATTGACTTGAATGCAATAACTGAAAAATGAGAATATGGTATACTTTAAATTTATATTTGTTTATGTAAGTAGCGCAGCGTACAGTGTTGAATTCAGGGGTGTACAGGAGAAATTTCTCCCTTGCAAAGAAATTCGCCCTAAAATATTGTAACTATTTTGTCCTTTTTTTACAGGTGTTTTTTTTTCTTTTTTACAGAGAGACTTTAACAATCGAATGAACGTCATGACGAATGAGTCAGGATTTATTATTATTTCATCGAACACCTGGATCCAAGTATTATACAAACGGAATAACGTGAAATTATGGTGACTGCTAGAAGAAAGGAGTGTTTGACCTTGACAGCTAGCCAATATGTATCGCGAGAAGGGGGGACTTGTATCAAAGAATCCAGAAGATTGTATAAGCTAAACAGAGACTTATTACCGAACATTCTTCAAACTTATCGAAATGTGTAGACACTATTAGACGCGTGGACGCTTCTAGAAAAACTGTCCATGCTTTATAAGCCCGTGTTGAAACTACTTGTGTTGTTGTTTTTCGTTGTTTGAACTTTTCTGTGGTGAAGTATGTTGCAAAAATGAATTCTACAGTTTGTTACAAAGAAACCTAGACTTCAGGTAGTAAGTAATGGTGCTGATACTGAGTTTCTGGCTCAAATTTAAGTTAAGAAGCCGAGTCTTGGAACTAGTAATGTTTATTCGTCCACCCCTTCTGCTGCAACTTTCTCACCTTCTTAACCAACTTCAGTTAAATACCAGAAGAAATGGAAAGAGAAATATGACTGGCTGTTTTTGATACATCCCTTGTAGGGAAGTTTTGTACGTAATGACGAGAATTTTTGAAAAATGATTTAAATGCACTATATAGAACAAGTGGTGTTTTTATAAATAACTCCGTTTACCAACTTTCGAAAAGCGCTGGGAATACCAGGAAACTCGACAGACATTCGAGAAGCATGTTCTTGCTCAAACAATGCATAAGCTTCGTGAAGAGGGTCTTAAAAGACCAATTAATACTTGTTCAACAGTCCATTTAGGAATGTAGCCGCAACAGGGAAGCAATAGCTGCGTTTCTGAGAAGCATCTACTTCTTAGCAAAAGAAGAAATCCCACATACTACGAAGTATGAACATTTCATTTCTCATCTTTTTATGCTACAAGATGACTCTCTGAAGCAATTGGTAGAAAATCGGAGCAACTGCTAAGCATCTGAAAGGAAAGCTACAGCTTATGATCTGCTGATGTGAATTTCCGAAGATCTAGATGATTGTGATATCTCGGAATTAAATAACAAATATTACTCTATAATGGCTGACCAATCATCAGATATCAACAACGTGAGCCAGTTGTCAATTTTAGTTTACTTTATGATTGACTGCAGTGAAGTAAAAGAAAATTTCTGGAGCAATACTGATTTAGCAAGTACTGATTACGAAACCATTATGGGTTCACTTGACAGAGAGCTGATGAAAAGAAACCTAGATTTCAAGAATATAATTTCTTGTACTTTCAATGGTGCCACCAATTTTTCAGGAAAAATGGTGTGTATAAGCGACTTTCAGAGAAAGCAGGAATGGAAATTCTTTATGTACATTGTAGGACTCATCTTTTCAAGGCTAACTTAAAAAGCATTAGAAATAAAATCGTGTCTGTGAAGAGGGTTCTTCGTGTCATCAAAGACTTATATTTACTATTCCACAAGTCATCAAAGCGTGAACGCGTGTTGCACGAGGTTCAGAGGTCATTAGAAGAACCTAAGCTATAATTTTAGAATCAGTCAAAATGCGTTGACTCAGTAATTACATTTCTCTTCCTGCTCGATTATAGCGACCTATGAGTGCCTACACAGAGATGGTATCTTGCAGGAAATGGAGAAACCTAGTTTTTCGTTACCCTAGAAATTGTGGATGAAGTTTTATATGTAGTATTTAATCTCAGCAAAATTTTACAAAAAGAAAACTTAAATCAGTCGTCAGTTCCTCAGCCCATTTAGCTAAAGAAAATTCTAATGCTATAGCTGTTATGGATCTCAAAAAAAAAAGGCTTCTGGTGTGCAACTGATTTGTAAATGAGCCAGAAAGTCAAATTTTAAAAAAAAAGTTTAAAATATTGTTGACACTGTGATTGAACAAGTGGAGCACCGATTCAGTGATCAAGCTGTCTCTCTCCTCATCAACATATATGCTTCCTTCCAATTGGTCTAGTGAATGTACAGTTTTATATATGATGATGTGAAGAGAGGATGTAACTTCTTTGACTGGACTGGATGCTGATGTGGTGGGGCTGATTGAGCTTCTTCAAGTACATTACAAGGGAGCAAGAAGATCAAGATAAAAATATTGTCCATTACTTGTGGAAATCAAGTATTAGTTATGATAATCCAAAAAAATTAACCGAATGCCTGATGGTGGTGCTAGTTTGACTGCTGGAATTAAGAATTTTTTTTAGTTGCATGAACCATATTTTAAATAAGCTGAGAAACCAGATGGAACAAGACACACTTCAAAGTTGCGTGAAAGGGGGGCCTAATGTACTTTCAAACACCTTGTTGTCAAGGTTTATCGACTTATATGCATGGAAAAACCCAATATGTGTTCGTTTTCTCTAAAGTGAACCGCCTGAGAGTATTTTCGGTAATTTTTCATTTTCTCCAAATTCATAAAAATTACATTTAAATATCATAACCAATAATAACAAAATATATCATTGTAAGTTTGTGGAGTCAATTATTTTACTTAAAGTACAGTATTTTCCATTTTGTTCAATTTGAATTTTAATTCATTACCCCAGCTTCACATCCCTCCCCCCGTGAGAAATAAATAAATTTGACATATCTGAGGGGCAGTAAAAAAAAATATTTAGACACACATGCACACATAAAAAACTGCATGTACCCGCATAGACAATGAGACAATCACCTCTACCAATCAGTGAATAGCTTGTTAGCTTTCCATTCTTCAGGTGAATCTTTGCTGAATTAGTCACAACTAAAAACCAAATAGAACTGATTAAAGAAAGCACGCCTTAATTGAACAAGTAAACTCGCTTCCTTAGTCCATTCGGCATTTTAACTTTTCTTCACAGTACACTCGGCCAGCAAAGGATATTCCATTGCCAATCCTTTTGATCTGGATATTATATATTACTGCAATGTCCTCTCAGGCAAAACAGACATTGCCTACTTAAGGGAACAAATAAACAAAGCAACTGGAACAAGGCAATCTTGACAAGTTTCTGGACCTGATGTTGCCGTAAAATAGATATACCTACTATAGAGAACATCGAAACTAGAATAAGATAATCTTAATGATTTTCTGGACCTCGCATTGTCCTATCACAACACAAAAATTAAATAAACAAACATTTTTAAAAACTTGTATATTACTAAAGCAGGAAGAAAACATATACTTATATAACACAGTGGTACGAAGGTTGGAACATTTTGAAAACCCAGCGAAAAGTTACTTAGTTTCACAAGAAGTTCGAAAACAAAAAATATTATCAATATTCAAATATACTACCTAAGTCACGATATTTGAAAGAAGAACTTTAAGATTTTTTTTTCACCAGAAAATGTTAAATGAACAACACAAGACTTGGAACTATCCTTATTTCCTGGAAATTAACTGTGACGAATATTTTCCATTAAGACATCAAATGCTGAAAACTGGCAGAGCAATAAAACCAATAGGATTAACATATTAATGATAAAAATTACACCAACACAGTGTATTGAAATTATTTGGAGGTGAATATCTGTAGTAAGAAAATACCATACATCTTACTCTCCTTTAGTAGGCATTTCATGTCTACAAAATTATTAAATTTGACCAAGTTCTGATTTTGGAATATACTAAGTCCAGATGAGATCATGTGCAAAATATAGTCCTAGGTCATACATTTTGTACATTTACCGGTCAAAGTACTTATCTGCTAGTTCATTAAATAATTGCATTATGTCTTGCTTGATCTTGCATTTGACAGCTAGCTTTCTTATGACTGTCACATGGAGCAGAACTACTTCCTATTTTGTCGCTTCTTTTTCTGATTGTTCAACTGAAGAGACACAATGTCTATTGTGAATGCAGCTTTGGCAGTCTCAGATTCAAATTCAATTGTCATTTAGGAGTTCAGTTCATCTTTTTTTGAGAGAGTCGAGACTTGTATCAAAGTCCTGTCTCTGTTTCATTCTATTCCTGTCATTTATCGTGTGTGCTGCAATTTAATCTCGCATTTTTCTACTACTT